TCACATTAAACTCATGAAAAATCAGTGAAAATAAATTCCAAGCAAAATGCCCAAAAAGCCTTTTCAGCGAAAATTAATTCCAGCGAAAATAAAGTATTCCACAACTAATAGTACATGTAGTGATCACTACAGTTGCTTTCATATACATGTTAGTGAACACCACAGTTGCATTCATATACATATTAGTGAACACCATAGTTGCTTTCATATACATGTTAGTGACTCCACATTTGCTTTCATATACATTTTAGTGAACACCACAAAAGCTATCATAGGCACATTATCAATCATCAGTTGCTTTGATATACATATAAGCAATCTCCATAGTTACTTTCATGTACATGTTAGTGAACACTACAGTTGATTTTATATACATGTTAGTGAACACCACAGTTGCTATCATATACATGTTAGTGAACACCACAGTTGCTTTCATATTAATGTATAAATACTCTGCAAATATTGTGTATGATATGAAAAAAAAATACGATAACTGGGGTGCAATAGATCCAAGGTAGATGCTAGTGCAGCCCTCGGATTAGTTGACAATGTGTTTTAGGTTTTTATTTGATTATAACTGTGTGATTGGCGTACAATATATGGTAATACAAAACTGCAAAATATTCTTGTGTATTTTACCAAGTTGAGATATTGAATGGCAATCAAGCATATATATAAACCTAGCTTTTTTATTTTGAAATATTGTGATCTTTTCCCAGGGATTGTCCACTCTCCTCCAAAAGTGCCATTGAGCTTATAGCAAGATGTATAATTATGTTATGTAATACACATTGATTGGGAGGGGCAATAAAAAATGCTACTATAGTACACAGATCTCTGGTATAGTAATATATGAAATAGTATGCAGATCTATGCGTAATATCTCGGTAAATGTACATAGAGAAATTGTACGAAGATATGTAAATGTACAGCAACACAAACTAGCGGGATGTTTGCAGTAATGGGTCATATTTATTTGTAGTGTTAGTTAATAAATCACAATATCGCATCGTAGCGACGTTTTAAACGCATGTGTGCTCATTGTGCTCTTATTGAACGTTTATACTAAAACAATTTAATTTTGTTCTCAGAATTTAGAACTGAGGCAATTCTAGTTCCAGGGCCCACCCTCGTTGAAAAGGAACGAATAAATAATTTACTTCTGTTTCTCAGATTTAGGACACTTTGTA